TCTTTCTAGCACCTTCTTGCCTGCAAGGTTTCTTTTGAGAAATGAGCTGACAGCCTTATGGGAACTCCTTTGTAAGTGACTGTCTCCTTTTCTCTTGCTGCTTCTCAGATTCTCTCCTCTTTAATCTTGGGAAAGGTAATTATGGTGTGTCTTGGTGTGTTTCTCCTTGGGTCCAACTCCTTTGGGACTCTCTGAGCTTCCTGGACTTCCTCCTGGGAGTCTATTTCTTTTGCCAGATTGTGGAAGTTCTCCTTCACTATTGTTTCAAATAAGTTTGAGATTTGTTGCTATTCCTCTTCTTCTGGTACCCCTATGATTCAGATGTTGGAACATTTAAAGATGTCCTGGAGGTTCCTAAGTCCCTCTTCATTTTTTTGAATTCTTGTTTCTTTATTCTTTTATGGCTGAATGTTTCTTTCTTCCTTTTGGTTCACACTATTTATCTGAGTCCCAGTTTCCTTCCTGTTACTGTTGGTTTCCTATACATTTTCCTTTATTTCACTTAGTATAGCCTTCATTTTTTCATCTAATTTCCAATCATATTCAACCAATTCTGTGAGCATCCTGATTGCTAGTGTTTTGAACTGTGCATCTGACAGGCTGGCTATCTCTTCATCACTTAGTTGTATTTTTTCTGGAGCTTTGATCTCTTCTTTCATTCGGGCCTTTTTTTTGTCTTGGTGCACCTGTTATGTAGTAAGAAGTGGAGCTTTAGTTAGGTGTTTACCAGGGTGGGGCAACCCACGTGGCTGCAGTGTGATGCTGTATGTGGGGGAGGGGTCTGAGAGGAAACAAGGGTGCTGACTTCTCTCTCTGCTGGTTTTCAGCCACTTGCCCTGCTACCCACAATCAAATTGGGCCCTTCTGGTGCTGATTCCTGGGTGGGTGGGCTTGTATACATTCTAGGACCCTATGGGTCTCTCAAAAAAATTGTCCTGTGAGGCTGGGAATTTCTCCTGCTGCCACCTCACCCCCCAGAGGCGTTTTCAGTTGGAGTTTTGAGGCCTTATTTCCCTGTGCTGAGGCCCTCTGTTTCGAGGCCAGCTGCAGCCCTTGTCCACCCCGGTCCACAATCTGCTGCCTCGCTGGCTCCTCCAGTCACCACCTTGCTGGGAGTCCTCTCTGCTCTGTCTCCCTGTCTCCGCCCCTCCTACTGGTCTGGATGGCTGTTTCTTCTTTAACTCCTTGGTTAAAGGACTTTGGTTGTTGGACTTTCATACAGTTCAATTTTCTGTCAGTTCTGTTTTTTGTTTTTAAATTGTTGTTGTCCTTATTTTGGTCGTGTGAGGAGGCACAGTGTGTCTACCTATGCCTACATCTTGGCCAAAAGTCTGTTTAAGTATAATTTTTAAAAGGCACAATTATGACTCATGCAAATATAAAATGAACATATAATAAAGATTTAATTCAAAGCATAATTAATGAACAAACTAATTAAATATTTTATTTCAAGAGCACTTAGAAATGGGTGTTGTGGGGCAAAGTTACAATAATATTCATAGAGATATAAAAGTGATTAATTTACAACTAGGATTTAAACTGTAACCATTGGATTATTTTACTTATCAGATACAGCTTATTTCCATGTTTTTCAGAGAAAATTCTGTAAGGTAACATGCAATTTCACTTCCTGGGACCTTTAATCAATAGTAACAGAAGGCAGAACTAAGTGCATGTCCTCAGATGATCCTTGGATGGCCTTTGCCCCCATATGACATTGAAAGGTCCTGCCCCCTCAGCTTTTTGCTTTATTTCTGAGTTTTGGATGCTTTTTATGACAGCTTTTAAAGTTGGTCCACAAATGTAAAAATTGGTTTTATGGCTTAATCTTCTCTTTTTTTTGGTGCATGTATAGAAAAATAATTTCAAAGCATTATTTTTTTCAAAGGAAATGAAGGCATTCTATAAATGAATAGTTAAGTGCTTTTCCTGTGGATTCACTCTTATTATTTTGGAGTGTTGCTTTAAAGTATAGAGCACTATCAAAAGGATACTAAATCTTCTTTGGGAGAATTTAATTATGAATGTAGATATTTAATCACTCTGTGATAATAAATATGCAATTTTAATATTGATTATATGTAAATCATTTTAAGAGAAATATGTGAAGGTTATATTGGGGGGAAAGCAGAACAGGTGGCCTGAGACTCTGGGACTGATTTGAGAAGTGGTGCCAGATGTTCTTTCCATCCTGAGAATAAACAGGTGCAGGCGAGTCAAAGACCAGCTGCAGGTTGATGATGAACACATGCTGGATGTGGTCCAGTCATACAGAGAGATGCAGATCTTAGGACATGTTTTAGGTGATACCAGAGGAAACAGTAGTGAAGGCATTGGCTTTCTAGAACTTTAGGTGATCTTTTATTTTTCCCACATTTTTTTTGTTGTTGTTTAAGTACAGTTGTCTCCATTTTCCTGCCACCACTCCCCCCAGCTCCGCCATCCCCACTCCCCGCCCTTGATCCTACCCCCCTTTGGCTTTGTCCATGTGTCCTTTATACATGGTCCTGACAACCCTTCCCCCTTTTTCTCCTATTGTCCCCTTTCACCTCCCCTTTGGTTACTCTCAATTTGTTCTTAATTTCAATTTCTCTGGTTATATTTTGCTTGCTTGCTTGCTTGTTTTGTCGATTAGGTTCCACTTATAGGTGAGATCATACGGTATTTGTCTTTCACTGCCTGGCTTATTTCACTTATCATACGCTTTACGCTAATGCTCTCCATTTCCATCCATGCTATCACAAACAGTAGGAGCTCCTTCTTCTCTTTCTGCTGCACAGTATTCCATAGGGTGAATGTACCATAGTTTTTTGATCCACTCATTTAGTGGGTGCTTAGGCTGCATCTAGCACTTGGCTATTGTAATTGTGCTGCTATGAACATAGCAATGCATAGGTTCTTTTGAATCGGTGTTTTAGGATTCTTAGGGCATAGTCTCAGCAGTGGAATGCTGGGTAAAAAGGCAGGTCCATTTTTAGTTTTCTAATGAAATTCCATACTGTTTTCCACAGTGGCTGCACTAGTCTACAATCCCGCCAACAGTGCACTAGGGTTCCCTTTTCTCCACAACCTCACCAGCACTTGGTGTTTGTTCATTTGTTTATTATGACCATTCTGACTGGTGTGAAGTGGTATCTCATTGTGGTTTTAAGTTGCATCTCTGTAATGGTTAGTGATACTGGGCATCTTTTCATATGTCTCTGGGCCCTCTGTATGTCCTTCTTGGAGAAATGTCTGTTCAGGTCCTTTGCCCATTTTTTAATTAGGTTTTTTGTCTTCCTGGAGTGGAGTCATGTGAGTTCTTTATGTATTTTGGAGATCAAACCCTTGTCTGAGGTGTCATTGGCAAATATGTTTTCCCATATAGTTGGTTCTAAGGATCAATAAATCCAGGATCTGTTTTTTTTAAAGATAAACAAAATTGACAAGCCTTTAAGCAGACTCATCAAGAAAAAAAAGAGAAAGGACTCAAATAAAAACAGTCAGAATTGGAAGCGGGGAGATTACAACTGATACTCCAGAAATGTAAAGAATTGTAAGAAATTACTACAAAGAACTTACATGTCAAGAAATTTGAAAACCTGGGTGAAATGGACAAATTTCTAGAAAAATATAATCTTATGAAACTGAATGAAGAAGCAGAAAGCCTGAACAGACAGATAACAGCTGACAAAAATCAAAGAAATAATTATAAAGCTCCTGGTACACAAAAGCCCTCCTGGACTGGATGGTTTCACAGAAGAATTTTACAATACATTTAAGGAAGAGCTAACTCGTGTCCTTCACAGACTATTCCAAAAAGTTCAAGAAGAGGGAAAACTCCCAAACTCTTTTTATGTAGCCAGTGTCATCTTAATCTCAAAACTAGATAAACACACAACAAAAAAAGAACACTGCAGGCCAGTATCACTGATGAACGTAGACACTAAAATCCTCAACAAAATATTGGCAAACTGCGTTCAGCAATATATTAAAAAGATCATACGTCGTGATCAAGTGGAACTCATCCCAGGGATGCAAGCGATCACTTGAAAGATGGCTGCTCTGCTCTCCTCCCCAGCCAGTTGTGCACGGTGGTTTTTACCTCACATGGCACGTTGATACCTTTAAGAGGGAAGAGCTAAGTGCCAGGATGCCAAAGAGTAAAAACAGAGCTAACAGTGTGAGGAAACCTCATTTGCTGTTTGTGGGAATATAAATGTGTATAATCCCTGAGAATAATTTGGCAATCTCTTTCAATATCTATGTAAATATCAGTATTTGGAATGTGCTCTTAATTGAGTGGAAGAAATAGAAATCTAATTGCAGAAATAGGAGGTTGAATGGCAATGCTCATGTAATTCAGAAAAAATAGGATCTTTAAAATTGATACTTTCTTTTTTCACTTTGAGCTTTTATCATAAATTGACTTTCTACTTTAAACTTAAATTCTTCTAAACCTTTACTAAAAATATGAATTTAGGACAAAATCTAGACACATTTGTGTAACTTGAAAATTAACTAATTTTGGAAATACAACTGTATTGCTACTTAATATTATGGGTTAAAAGCACAACCTCTAAACAATGCACATTTGTGGAAAGAAAGATATTGTTAAAATATTATTCCTAAAAATCAAAGCAGTATATAATGAATATTAATCCTATAGGCCAGATACCACAGCTTTTAGAAGCTAACAATGGGTAAAGATTCATCTGTACACTGAAACTTCTTACATGTATGTTTTCAGAGTTTGTTTATTCCTAAGCAAATAACTTTCTAAAAATAAGGTTAATGAGGAAATCTACAAATGTTATTCATTTTGTACCATAATGATCCTCAATAGTTTATATAATGTACCTTTAGATATCATCAAAATTGCTAGAGCCTGAGCCTTTTAAAAAGTAGATGCCTTATATCTAGTGTCAAAATTTCTAAGCATCAATGTATGCAAAATATATTCTATGATAAACTGGAAATATGACTTGTGTAACATTGTCATTTTAAATTTTATTTTCAAGGAAAGAAATTTCCCCAAATTTATAGCAAAAGAAATGGAGAATATGTATATAGAAGAGTTGCGGTCTTCAGTGAACTTGCTAATGGCCAATTTGGAAAGCCTTCCAGTTTCTAAAGGTGGTCCAGAATTTAAACTGCAAAAGCTAAAACGTTCACAGAATTCGGCATTTTTGGACATAGGAGACGAGAGTGAGATTCAGCTCTCCAAGTCTGACGTGGTGCTGTCATTCACCTTGGAGGTAAGTGCTCTCTCCCCTTCTCACCTCTGACAGCCTAAATGAGGCTGTGAGTAATTTTTGCTGACCTTCGTGGTAACCTTTCAGAGTTAAAACAGTTGAAGAAGTTAAATTATTCTTCATTTGCAAGGCAATCAGGTTGTGAATGCAAATTAATATAAACTGTCCTTTAAACGTAACAGCGGTATTAGGATTAAATAATAAAATAATAAAAAAATTTGAGGCAAGTCTTCTTTGTGTCAGCTTAGGCTGGTATAAGTTTATTGTTGCAGGAAACACCAAAACGCACTTGGATGGAAATAGGATTGAAACATATAACTGCGTACTCTGTGATTTGGGAACTCCTTTCAAGCTTTTGGTTAGTCTAACTTTTTAAATCTACTTCTCTATGAGATCATGTTTCTAGAATCAAATCACATAGACCAGCAGTACTGTACAATATTGGTGACATACAGATGATGAGAAGTAGAGAATTCTTCCTTTTCAGAACATTCCGTTTCATTATAGGTACAATAAATAGTATAAAGAACCAAAATAAATGTCATGCCTTTAAAGCTACGTTCTTCAAGACTTCCGAGTTTCATGCCTTTCATGCAAATCACTGGAAGCCAAACATTGATACTGACATCCACAGTGACCTGTCTTCCTGGTTATATTTCTTCTTTGCTAATCTCCATGCATGGACTAATCCACATTATGTCTGTGGGTTCACATACAATATACACACAACCTGGCAATAGCAAGTTGAAATTTATAGCTCTCTCAAAAGTTATATCAAAGCTTTGTAGCTCGTTCCTTGTATTGTTACAAGATGCATTGTTACACCCTCTCTCCGTTTGTTCCCAGTACTGCTATTTGAGTTTGATTATTGACAAAGAAAAGAACCCTGGAGTTTTAGGAGATACAGTTTGAAATGTCATTGTTGAAATCTTCCTGCATTTAGCTTGCTTAGTTTATAGTGGAAGAAGCAAATCCTTGTTTATTCCACCTACTCCTTTGTTGGTTAATAGATTCAATTTAGTGTAAAGAATAGCAATATGAGTTTTTCTTCTGACACAGTTCAGAACACAGTTCTGGGATTAATTTATGACTTTGCCCAGTGGCTCACCTGTCTGCTAAATTTCTTCTCAACCTCTTCAGCATCTTAACCTAAGGATATTTACTTTGAAACTACACATAGTATCTTATAGGTGAATTTCTTTATCATTCCTGCCTCAGTTTTCCTACTAACTAAAATGTAAAGCGCCAACTCTTCCCCCCGCCTTTTAAAGATTTTATGTGAAACAAAATCAATTATTTAATTATAGTGTAACTTTTTCTATCTGTTTGACATTTAAATTCATTAATAATGAACAATTATTAATTCATTAAATTCATCAGTAATGATTAACTATCTACCATTACCTCTGTAAGCACTCAGAACTGAAAACAGTGCAAAACGTTTTCTCTGTTTAAAAATCTCAAATTTTTACAAATAGTTAGCTTATGAATTCTGTTTTTTCTTTTGTAAACAATATTTATTATGCTGGTGAGTTAGTGCTTAAGTGAAATTATAAATATTTATTCTGAACTTTATCGCCACTATGTTAAACAGCACTGTTTAGTTAACATTAAAATGGTCTTAGAAGAATACAAGTTAAAACTTCATTTTGCATTGTTTGAGAAGCTTACATAGTTATAAAATTGTCTTGAGGGACGAGGTGCCCGAGTGGTTAAGGCGATGGACTGCTAAAATTGTTTTGCTATGCTTTACTGCTATGTCCATAGGAGGCGGACAGTTTCTACCACAGCGCAATAGGGATCTTTTCCCTGGTACCCACAGTATTTCAAGCAGAAAGTACATGTCCAGTAATAAGCTGAAACCACATGAAGAGCAGACTTATCTTACCTGTAGAACTCCTGAGAGAATAGAGTAGGAACCCCTCTGCCCCAGGCCTGTGACCTCAGCCAAGCTTAACTGAATCATTTCCCAAGCCCATTCTCCAAGCCTTGCTCCTCAGACCTCAGATTTAGCCTAAGAAACTCTGAAAGGCAAGTAGTTAATCCAGTGTAAGGGTCTCACACATCATCAGTAAAGCTTAGAGCTGGTCCAGTGGAGAAAGGAGTCTTGTTTAAGAACTAAAGTGTCAGTCTAAGGAATAAGAGCAGATTTGAAAAACTGTTCAAATTTTACTTTTTAAGTTGCTACCTACTCCTCCCCTCTCCTACCACAACCTGTTCCCTTACCTAGCTCCATGTTTTTGCCACAGCTCTTACCTCACATATTCAATTATTTATTATGTTTATTATTCATAATCTGGTTCTTTCTACTTAGAATCTAAGTTGCAGGAAGGTGAAGTTTTTTTTATTTCTTTTTTGTTTATTGAAGCATTACAAAAGCCAAAAACAGATTCTGGTACACAGTCAACTTAATAAATATTTATTGAATTAGGAACTTTAATGGTATCAAAAAGCAGCAGTTACCCTTACAAGATTACTTTAGGTCTTTTCATTTATGAAAACTTCAGAGAGAATAGTAAAGCAAGAGATAAGCTGATCCACAAAACAGCAAGCCATTCAACAGTATGGTAAAATTAAACATTCAAGTGAGGCTAGGAAAACAAATGTTCATCTATAAAGTATGAGTAATATACAGTATCTATTAATTCTCCATTAATTCTCTTAGTCTGTTTTTAGTTAAGTCCTTATTTTTATTCATATGTTGCAATGCATTTAAGTATGAAGAAATTACAAAAGATTTGGTTGAGGAAGGAATAATCTTGAATTTAACCTTTATTTTTTTGGTGATCAGTTTCTCATATATTTTTATGAAAAAAACAAAGCAATTTGCATTTGTATTTATAAACATGACACTTCTGTTATACCAGAGCTGAAAGGAAAAACTTGTTTTTAAGATGGTTTCTTTCTTTGAGACCTTAGTCTTAAGATTTATATCACAACTCTATGAAAAGTGTTATGACTTTAATAATGTATTAAATGATTAGCAAATGATATAGATGATGCTTTGGTGGAGATTTTGGTAGCTACATAGCATGAATGCTATTTATCTTGTTTATACTAACACAATGTGAGATTTATCGGAAATGAATATGCGTATATTAAAATGCCATTAAATATATTTTATAAATTAAAATTTGAGAATTTAGGGAACTTCATGATTCAAGTTTGATTCGAAAAAACTATGACAAATAATCATATTTTATGTGTACATCCAGCAAGAATCTTTTAAGATTGGCAGCCTTTTATAAAAACATAAAAAGCATAGGTTCTTTTTGTTGTTTTAAATAATTCCTCCACTCCCTCTGCCCCTCCACCAGAACCATCAGCTTCCTCTTTATCTATGAGTCTGTCTTTATTTTACTTGGTGATTCAGTTTATTCAGTATTTTCTACATGTGAATGAAATCATATAGTACTTCTCTTTCTCTGACTGCCTTATTTCACTGAGCATAATGTTCACCAGATCCATCCATGCTGTTGGAATGGGTAAACTTTCTTTTACATCTGAGTAGTATTCCATTGTGTAAGTGTACCATAGCTGTTTTAGCCATTCATCTCCTGATGGACACTTGGGCTGCTTTCAGATCTTGGCCATTGTAAATAATGCTGCAGTGAACATAGGGGTGCATATATTCTTTCAAATTATTGTTTCAGGTGTCTTCAAATAAATTCCTGAAAGTAGAATTGCTGGATCATAAGGCAGTTCTATTTTTTAATTTTTTGAGCTATCTCCATACTGCTTTCCACAGTGGCTGTACCAGTCTGCATTCCAACCAACAATGTGTGAGAGGTCCGTTTCTCCACCTTTTTGCCAAGAACTGTTTGTTGATTAATTAATGACAGCCATTGTGACAGGTGTGAGGTGGTACCTCTTTTTCAGAAATTCCTCCTACTCAAGCCTGCTGCTCCGTACAGAGGCCTGGCCTCTCACACAGCCCAATTCTCCAACCAAAATGAGGACTCTCGGGGTCAGGGTCTCAGGGCTCAACTCTCAACTCTCCCCAGCTGGTGTCCACAGACTCCGTGGGTGCTCACAGCCCCTGTGTGTCTGCCACTTAGTCCTTATTCTCCTCACTGTGACTTCAAGCAACCAGGTCTTTTCCAGTGCTGCTCAAACCTTGTTTGGCAGGGGAGGGCGCCACTGACCGGGCTCTCTCCCAAGGACCCTGTGGCAGACCCCGTGTGCACAGGACCTGGGGCTGCAACCGCCCTGCTCCCTGCCCTGATCCCAAGGACCTTACTGTCCTGAAACACTCTCCTTACTGTCTGGTTTTTCAGTGTCCGCTACAATTTTTGGTCTCCTGCCTTCATATATGTTGGGGTACTGTTGGCTGTTTGTTCTGTTCCTCTGTAGATCGGCTAGTTTTTTCTCCTGTGTGTAGGGGGCAGTAGAATCCGCTCCCTCCTACCTCGCCACCATCTTCAGTCCCTGTGAGGTGATACCTTGTTGTGGTTTTAATTTGTGTTTTTCTAACGATTAGTGACATTGAGCATCTTTTCATACATCTATTGGCCATCTGAATGCCCTCTTTAAATAAGTGTCTATTTGTGTCCTTTGCCTGTTTTTTTGTTGAATTGTTTGTTAGTGTGTGTGTGTGTGTGTGTGTGTGTGTTGAGTTTTTACAGTTCTTTATAAATTTGGGACGTTAACCCCTTATCAGATGTCAGTAAATATGTTCTCCCACTTTTCATTTTGTTGATAATTTCTTTTGATGTGCAAAAACTTTTTAGATTAATGTAGTCCCATTTGTTTATTTTTTCCTTTTGTTTGTTTTGCCTGAGGAGATATATCAGAAAAAATATTGCTATGAGAAATGTCCATGATTTTACTGCCTATGTTTTATTCTAGGGTTTTTATGGCTTCAAGTCTAACTTTTTTAAGACTTGAATGCATTCTTCTTGTGTGTGGTATAAGAAGGTGTTCTAGTTTCATTTTTTTGCACATCTGTCCATTGTTCACGACACCATTTATGGAATAGACTATCTTTACCCCATTGTAGGTTCTTGACTCCTTTATCAAATATTAGTTGACCATAAGGCTTAGGTTTATCTCTGGGCTCTCCATTCTCTTCCATTGACCTGTGTGTCTGTTTCTTATGCCAGTACCATGCTGTTTCAATTACTGTGGTCTTGTGTAGTTTAATATTAAGTAGCATGGACACAGACAACAGCGTGGTAATAGTGGGGGATTTTGAGGAAGTGGGTTGAGTGGAGGTGGAAGAGGGTATGGGGGATAAATGGTGATGGAAAAAAAGGGGTCCGTAAGTGTTAGGATCTCTCTAAGTTTGTGATTTTTTAAAACATCCAATAGCCTCTGATGGGTGTTTCACCCAGTGAGAAACAAAGTAATCCGATGTCATTGAGGTTGTATTTGGAACAGGGTAAAGGGGAAGTAGGGGTAATAAAATAGAGAGGGGGCGGGGAGAAATGATTTGTTGTTCCACTTATTTGTACATTCATTCATTGGTTGCTTCTCGTATACTGACCGAGGATTGAACCTTTAATCTTTGTATCGGAATGCTGCTTTAACCAAATGAGCTACCTGAAATGGTCATAAAGAAAATTCTTTCATAAATACTTTAATAAATTCTTTTTATAATAATTAAAATTAAATAGTTTAATTTTCTTTAAAAATTCTTTTATAAACAGTCCTCTAATCTGAGTGAGTACAGAAGATTTCTGATGCTGTCACATATGGATGTCAATGAATTGGTCTGATGGTGACAGTGTTTGCTTGTAATAAATATTGCAACACTTTGTGTGAAACTCATGTGCATTCCTCTCATCAAATGTACTGAATTTTCATTTGTAATTTTGCTTTACTTCATAAAAAGTTGCCATAATTGTTTAAAGATCTGAGTTTAAATTTCACGCAATTCCCTAGGGGATAAATTTAGAGACTATAACCTTGATTTAATCGCTGTCAGAAGCCATTTGTTCAGAGATCAGACTTGCTCATGATGTTTTTTATTATCCCTAACATGAATAGATGTGGATTCTTAGGAAAACAAAATTCCATCTATGTTACTAGATAATTTTTTCAATGGGTCTATGCAGTTATAGTTTATGCTGCTGTCTCTCTCTCTCTAGGTACCAGTTGTCAACTTGACATGTCATTTAAAATTTTTCTTATCTTTTAGATTGTCATAATGGAAGTGCAAGGTTTGAAGTCAGTTGCTCCCAACCGAATTGTTTACTGCACAATGGAAGTGGAAGGAGGAGAAAAACTGCAGACAGACCAGGCAGAAGCCTCCAGACCACAGTAAGCCAGCTGAAAAACATGGTTTTTGAGGATTTTTTTCTCTCCCAAAGAAGCATGCTTTATTTATTTGCAGTTGTATGGTTTGACACTCTGAAATGGTGCTTGGTTAGCTTTGTCTCAATTGTGTTAGAATCACTGTGTGGCTTTCTGGATAATAATGTTACAATTAGAATGGTAGCAGAATCCCGTGTAGTACAAACAGAAAACCCAATTTGCAAATGCGAAGTTAATTAGTGGGCAATAAAATGTAAGTCATTTATAAGGATAGCATGTGTCATTATTATATGTTATTTAAAAGATAGTGCTAGATCCTATTTCAGTTATTAGAATTGTAACCTAATAGCATTTCTATTTCTGTATGTTATAGCTCTTTGGTGAAGTTGAGGGAAGGAACATGATTCTACACAGTGACTGGGAATAGTTTAGGAGATGGCTTGAATTAGAGAGCTGTTAATAACTCCTGTGCAGTAATCAGAGATAAAAAAACTGTTCTTTGCTTGCAGTTTTATGTTACAAATTCTGGAAATGAGTTTAAATTTAGAAGATGTTCTGTTTAGCTGATTTAAATTTGGGGAACTTTTAGTTTCTGGTGGAAATAACCAGACTGGCCTAAGGAATTCAAATGAAACTTGCTTGGCCTTCACTATCTTTAGAAAGAACTTTTCTTTCTTTCATTTAAACTTTATTAAAAATCTCTTGTAGGGTTTACAGGATTTAGGATTATTTGCCTTATCATAGCATCTGTATGTGGGGCCTGTTTATTCAGGAAACTTCTGTTGAGGTCCTGGGTAGGCACTAGTTAGTCCCTGAAGATGGAAATGAACAAGAAACTAATTTTCCTTATGGCAGGCAGAGTCTAAGGCGTGGGTACAGAGGATTGAATGTAAGGGGAGAGATGTATTAATGGGTTGTACAGAGTATTAAGGGGTTGAGAAGAAGCAAGTTGAAACTTCTTACACTGCCTTATACACCCCTACAGGCTTGCGCCTGACCAGTCTCATTATCTCTGGGCCCTCGCCTTGTCCCTTTCTTCCCCTGGTCCAGTCACTGTTCAGCCACCCTGGACTTCATGCAGTTCCTCAAATGCATCAACTTATTTTCATCATTCCACCTGCTTTTCCCTCTGCCTGCAGTCACCTTCCCTTTTATCTTTGGCTGGCTGGGTCCTTGGTATTGAGAATTTCAACTAAACATCACTTCCTGAGAACAACCCTCCCCTTTAGTTAACCCAAAGGGAAGCAGGTTGATTAGCTCATCACTTTTTAATGTTTAGACAAATGTGTGTCTCACCTGTTTATTTTGTATTGCGTTTTCACTTGAGAGGAGGGATCTTGTCCTATATGATCTTATATCCTAGTACCTAGTAGTATGCATTCGGAATTTATTAATTCAACTGCTTGAACTTATTTTTATGACTTAGCTATCGTAAATATTTAAGAGTGTAGTGTTTATTCCAGCAGTCACAGAAAGTTGATTTACAATGTGACACTAAAGGGAAAATGATGAGGATAAACAGCTCTTTGAAGAGGTTAAAGCCTCTCACGAAGAAGCTATGAGAGAGAGAAGGCCATAGGGAGTCAAGGGAGAGGTTTGGTGTGTGTTTATCTTAAAGATCAGCCATTTCAGACTGACAGAGACCAAAGGGGAGGGAGAGAGGGTAATGGTGGAAAGGAGGGGAAGGGACTAGTCAAAGTGACACATGGACGTGGACAACAGCGTGGGGACTGACTGTGGGAGCTGGGGTTGGGCCCGGAGGGGGCGGGCAAAGGGACAGCTGTAACAGAATAATAATATATTTTTTAAATCAGCTATTTTAGTATTGTAGTATATATTAGTCACAGAATTGTGTAACCATAGTCAGTTTTAGAGGATATTTACTGCTTATAAAGAACTCTATACCCTTTACTTATCAACCTCAAATCACCCTAGCCCTAAGCAACTACTAATTGACTTTCTCTATAGATTCATCTATTCTGGACATTTTTACAAAAATTGGGTCATATACTATATGCTCTTTTGTGATTGGCATAATGTTTTCAAATGTTTTATTCATATCAAGGGTATTTTCACTTTCTTCATATATTGTTTTTGAAGCACAAAGTTTTAAAATTTTGATTAAGTCCAATTTAAGTATTTTTCTGTTGCTTGTGTATTTGTATCATATCTAAAAATCCACTGTCAAATCCAAGGTCACAAAGGTTTATCCTTATGTTTGCACATGATCTGATGTAAGGGTCCACCTTCCTTCTTTTGTGTGTTACAACCAGTTGTTCCAGCACCATTTATTGAAGAAATTATTCCTTCCCCATTAATGTTCTTGATACCCCTTTGAAATCATAGATACTTGTGTTTATTTCTGGACTTTAAATTCTATTCCATTCATGCATATAAAAATATCTTTATGCTAATATCACATTATCTTAATTACCAGTTTTAAAATCAGGAGTGAGACTACCAACTATGTCCTCCTTTTTAAAGATTATTTTGATTCAAGATTCATTCTCTCTTTTTTTTAAATCACTTTGTATTTTTTAATTACAGTTGACATACAATATTATATTAGTTTCAGGTTATTAGACATTAGTATGTCTAATAACTCAGTAATTAGACATTTTATAACTTACTAAGTGATCATCCCGATAAGTCTTGAACCCATCTAACACCATACACAGTTAGAATGTTACTGACTATATTCCCTATGCAAGACTTGACATCCCCATGACTATTCTGTAATGGCCAATTTGTACTTCTTAATCCCCTCACCTTTTTCACCCATCCCTCCAACCTCCCTTCCATCTGACAACAGTCAAAATGTTCTCTGAACCTATGACTTTGTTTCTGTTCTGCTTGTTTATTTTAGAGTCAATTGTTGGTTTGTATTTATTGTCATTTTATTGTTCCTATTTTTCATAATTTTTATCTTTATTCCCCTTCTTCTTAAAGAAGACCTTTTAAGATTTCAGTAATACTGATTTGGTAGTAATGAACTCCTCTGGCTTTTTCTTGTCTGGGAAGCTCTTTATCTGTCATTTGATTCTAAATGAGAGCTTTGCTGGTTGTAGGTCCTTTTTATCACTTTGAATATTTCTTTCCACTCCCTTCTGGCCTGCAAAGTTTCTTTTCAGAAATCAGCTGACGGCCTATGGGAGCTCACTGGTAGGAAGCTAAGTGCTTTTCTATTGCTTCTTTTAAGATTCTGTCTTTAATGTTTGACATTTTAATTTGTGTGTGGGCCTCTTTTGGTTCATCTGGTTTGGGACTATCTGTATTTCCTGGACTTGTATGTCACCAGATTGGGGAAGTTTTCTGTCCTTTTTTCAAATAGGTTTTCAATGTCTTGCTCTCTCTCTTCTCCTTCTGACACCCTCATTATGCAAACATTGGCACACTTGAAGCTGGGCAAGGGGTTCCTTATACTATTCTCATTTTTAATTATTTTATCTTTTTGCTATTCTGATTAGTTATTTTTTTGCTACCTGATATTCCAAATTTCTGATTTGACTCTTGGCTTCATCTTCTCTTTTGTTGATTCCTTGTAATTTATTCTTCATTTCAATTAGTATACCCTTCATTTCTGACTGGTTTGTTTTTATAGTTTCTATGTCCTTTGTTATATTGTTGAATTTTGTTTCGTTCCTTTTCTGGGGTTTTGTTCTGTTCTTTCATTTGAAACCTGTGTCTTTGTCTCCTCATTTTGGCAGCCTCTCGGTGTTTGTTTCTATGTATTAGGTAGAGCTGCTACGTCTCACAGGCTGCAAAGACTGGCTTCGACCAGTAGAGATAATCAGCTGTGCAGAGGCACACCCCGAGGAACATGACTTAACTTCAGTGGAGCTCTAGTGCCCTCCGAGTCTTCCCCTTGAGTGTGCTGTTCGTGGAGGTATTTGGTGGTGCTTTGACATTATCTGAGGCTGTCCAGTGAGTGTGCTGGCTCTGGAGCCTCCTGGGAGGTGCAAGCTAGAGTCAACAGCCAACTGTGTTCTTCCCAGGGCCTCTTGGCATAAACTACAAAGCGATCTGCAGATGGTTGCTACTTGTGTTGGGCTTGGAGGTGCCTAGATGAGCAGACCAAGGCCAGCTGCCACCAGTGCTGGGCCTGGGTATGGATGGAGCATGTGGAGGCCCGGTGCTGCTTGTTTGAGAGATTTAAGAAAGTCAAGCAGAAGCCAAAATGGGCCATTCATATAGAAAAGCTGCTGAAAACAGCTTGGGTTGGCCAGCAAGTTGGACAGAGTCTTAGGGAATCACCAGGCCAGGGTGAAAAGTACCGGTTAGGTTGGTACTTCTCACCCTAGCCTGGTGACTCAGATATGGCACCTACCTGCTGACTCTGTCATGGAAGGGCTCATTAAAGAAACAGTGACCTCTGCCAGCAATTGTGTTTGGGGGAAAGCACACCTCCAGCTCTTGCCCTGATGCAGGATAATTCAGTTCCTCCCTTTATGTCTCTGTTGTCTTTCAATCAGATGCTCCCATGCTGGAGCTCAGAAGGAGTGAGTCCAAGTAAGTTTGTGCCTGTGCATGGTTCCTTTAATAGAAACTTTGTGGGACCCCAGAAGTAGCCCCTCTCTTCTGACTCATTCAAACACAATCCCCACTGAATTTTAGAGTCAGAAGTTATGAGGACTTCTCTTCCTGGCACGTTAACCCTGGGCTGCAGAACCTGGTGAAAGGCTGGGGCCTGGTGACTCCTCAGGGGGAAACTTTGCAGCTGAGATATCCCTCCTGATTTAAAAAAATTTTTAAATATATTTTATTGATTATGCCATTACAATTGTTCTATTTCCCCCCTTCATTCCCCTCCACCCTGCACACCCCTCCCCCACCATTCTCCTCCTTTAGTTTATGACCACATGTCTCAAGTTCTTTAGATTCTATATTTTTCATACTATTCTTGCCCTCCCCACTATCTATTTTCTGCCTACCGTCTATGCTACTTATTTTCTGTACCTTCTCCCCACTTCTCCTCCTCCTACTCCCCTGTTGCTAACCCTCCCTGT